TATACGTGAAAGTGCGGCCCCATGAGAGAAGCAAACCTTCGCACTCGGCCCGCTAGGTTTCTGGAAATAATCAATCTCGCCCCTTCATTGCCTAATATAGAAGTTTGTGAAACTTAATTTTTATGCTTGTTTAATAAAAGGGATGTTTCAATAAGTTGTGAATCTTAATTAAGAGTTTATAAGTAAACTGAACATGTTCGTGAACTTTAAAAAAAAAATTATAACACACCAGTTATGCCTCATTTTTACTGTATGGTACATGATGTATATCATAAATACAATGGCCACGTTACAAACACACACACACACACACACACACACACACACACACACACACACATATATATATATATATATATATATATAATTACGTAAAAGATTTGGCAACGACCCCTATCTTTTCACCTTTGAATGGAGGTAAAAGTATGTTTTCTTTTCAAACGCAATGCTTAATATGACAAAACCATACATGTCAAAAGAATTTGATAGCATATATATGAACACACAAAAAGCTTTATAAAAAAATTAAAGCAATATTAAAAAGCACGTATTTTTTAAAATGACTTTGAGTTTTGTATTTTTAGCATTTATTCTCAAGTTTACAGTGTTATTTCTTTTATATAAACTATTCATAAATTAACCATATTATAAAATTTAAATTGGCTTCTATACAATCTTTCTTTTGATATGTTTCTTATGCCTTAAATAATTGCATAAACGAAAGCTAGCTCGATTCAAACTTAGCCTATTATTGTTAAAGCTGCAAGATTCCCGAAATTATATTTTATAAAATAAAATTTAAAAAAATCAAAAGAACTTTTAGATAACTTTAGCTTTTATATACGAAGTCTTAAAGCAGTCAAACAAGTCATAATAGTGAGAAACACAACTTAAAAGTTTCAAAATCTCCAAATGGTGCCACTCGTGAAAACTACAAAAATGGCAAGACGTACCTTCTGCCCTCTCGAAGCCCAAAACTCAAGAACAAAAAATGTTCCGTAATTCTGATTTGCAGTTTCGTTCTAGTCACATTTTCCAGCAACATTTTTTTTTTTTTTCAGAATTTTTTGCGGACCTATAATTTTTGTATGGACGATTTGAGACAAAATCACGGATATATAAGCTTATCACTAATAATTGTTCAGGAAAATTCCAAATGTAGCGAAAATTTTGAACAGTCTCTGATGCTTTTTGCTACGTTTAAAACTTTATTGGACAACTTTTTTTTCAGAAAAAAGCTTCCGATTTATGTAAGTAATTTTCGACAACATTAAAGAGTTTTCGCTTTCGGTCCCCTGAGCAACTTTGGGCATCGCACTAGTTCTGCGCATGCGCAATGCGACTTTCTCAAGCAGTTCGGGTGCTCAAACCGTAGGGGACTCCTATTCCAAAAACTCTCAATTATAACCAATATTATGTAGCAAACTGCGAGGCAAAGAAATCCACAGCCATTTCTTCCAAGTTATACTCAGTGTTGGTTTAAAAAAAAAATATATTGTAACGCGAAGCAAACATACATCTGCTTCAATCACGGGTACGCATGTCTTGTTGCAGCTTCTGTTTGCCTGGCGGAAGGATTAGTGAAAGAATAAAGAAAGCTTATGCCGCGAGCTCGTGCAAGAGACACGCGCGTGTTTACATCATGGCGGGTAGTGGCGTTGATTGTCCACAACGATGGCGGCCTGTGTAGTGATACATTTTAGTACTACGACAGTATTATATAGTATAGTAATAGTAAAGTACAATGGTATTAGATACTATAGAACTAGTATAACAGTATAGTACAATAGTAGTGTAGTACTAACATGTGATACCACATACTGCGATAGTATACTACGAAAATTGCCAATCCGAAACATGGTGTACATGCAAGGAATCTGTAGAAATGCAGTCTATAGAAATCATACGATGTCGTACAACAATACAGCCCCCAAACAAAGTCGGGGCTGCGTTTCTTCTATGAAAGCCATGTTCCGCTGATTAAATTGAGACAAACCTCGTTCTATCTGCCCTCGACCGTAGCAGAAGAAGCCATCTTGCTTTTTTTTTTTTTTCTCCAATCAAATGCGGTTTTCTCTTTCCCGGATTCTCAGTGGCACAACGAGCAATCTGTTTTAGGGGCGAAGCTCCTTAGGGTCTAGCCTTGTCCGGCGTCCGTGCTCACATTGATTGCCATCCCATCTGTCTTCTTAAAAAAAGAAAAAAATGTTTGCGCAGTCGACAGGATTCGAACCTGTGCGGGAAGACCCCAATGGATTTCTACTCCATCACCTTAACCACTCGGCCACGATTGCGGGACGAGTAGGAGGCTCTGAGATGTGGTAGTCACTCAAGAGCTGGGGATGTCATGGCTGAAACGTTGCATGCAGCCGCTCAACGTCTATACAGGAGAGGGCGCTGCGGTCAAATGCGTATATAATCGAGTTAAACTTTGCATGCATCGGCTCAACGTTTATAGGCGAGAGGGCCCTGTGGTCAAATGCATATATAACCACGTTCCATACCACACATTCTCTTTCTGACATGTATGATAACGAACGAAAAGCTCGGCATGCTCCGGCTCAGCGCAGTGTTGCCGAATCGTGGGAAATTTCCCATATTGTGGGAAAAAGCATGACAGCTAGGGAAAAAGAGAAACCAGATTTTAAACACATGCAAAATGTGGGAAATATTTTTTTAATAAACAACTAAACCGAAATTTGGTAAATGTCTACATCGAACAAAAGAAAGGAAGTGGCACTAGCTACTGAGACAGTTTGCTGTTTTGAAGAGCCAAACTAATTCATGACGACTTACATGTGCGTGCTGCAAGTCTGCCGGTACAGTACGCACTTTCCTCACCGCTATGGCTTCGCGCACACGTCTTCTGCCAGTGCGATAGATCATGGATTGCACAGTGGGTTTCACATCACGAAAACAAGCAGGCAATTTTAGTTTCGTTTAGTTAATGGCCCACTTGCTTTCATTCAGTTCCCCTGATTCATTCAATCAATGTATAGTGGGGGAAAGAAGTGGAGGGGGTGGGGGAACAGTTTGCCGAATGCCAACTTCGACATTTCGTAATGTATGCGATGCAAACTTCTACAAAACAGAAACATACATGAGGTGCTGCTGCATTTATATAAACTTGGCGTCATGCGTATCTTAAAAACGACTTCTGTCACTAAAATGGTGAGGTGGGAAAAAGGGGGAAAAACCGAATTGGCAGTGCGGCAACACTGGCTCAGCGTCTACGCACCACCCAACGTTACAAGAACACTCAGTTGGGAAACTCGCCATCGAAACCTGGGCCGCTGGCGTCCACCGAGACCAAGCTAAATACGACGACAGCGCCACTTTTTATCATTTCTCTGTACTGTGGTCACCTTGAGCTTTTAGAAAGCACGTTCTTGCGTAAAAACAAACGCAAAAGACTCTTTTTGTATGAAATTTATTGGAGTTTAGTACAAAATGATGGGCGCGTGATGTTTTTATAATCTTTAGTTCGCAAGGTTTTGCGGAACAATTAATATTGCTTTTTACAACCATGCCTCAGCGGTCCTTTCAGGTAGCGCGTCCCGACCTAGGTGCATTTTAACTTCGGTAGAAGTTCGCGGCGCGTCCGCTGGGGAGACGGGGGTGGTATCTCTGTAACCTCTACCACTGTATCTGATTAGGCGCCAAAATGGCCGATTAAAGCCAAAATAGAAGTCACGTGCAGTTCCTCGAGTGGCCGCTGCGGGAGAAATGGCGGCGTTGTGTTCGCCATTAGCTCGATTCTGGGGGACAGATTGGGGCCACTTTTTCAGAGCAGTCTCTATGGCAGTTTCCACACTGAGTGGTTCTAGTAATGTTGGCACCACCAGAGCTTCGCCCCAATCAACATCATTCACCACGTGGAGATGCGGTCACATTTTTCACTGGGCCGCAGCTTCTGGCCATGTCGCCTTCAGTCCGGTCCTATTCTCTCGCCTTGCGAGGCATCGGGAAGACTTTCAGTAAGACTTCTAGCATAGACTCCATTTGAAAGCCTGCCTTTTGACGGAAGGTGTAGAACCTTCGCTCAACGGCGAATATTCCTTGCGTTCGATTGCGCGTCGGCTGCACGCGCCCTCGTGCGGCCGAGAAAGTCGGAGCTACCTCACTTGCACGTCCCGCGGTATTCGTTGACGAAATAAATAGACTATCTCTACGAGGCAAATCTCTTTCCATCTTTGTAATTTCTTCTCTTCCACCCCCCTTTCCGCTCCCTCCTGCTCAGCCGGAAAACAGCATGACAAATCCCCCGTCGCCTCTTAAAGCTCCAAAGTCGCTAAAAAGAAAAATGTTATCGAATTTATGAAATGTATCACCACTTCACCTCATTTGGAAATTTGGAGCAGTTGGGGAAACACATTGCACATAAAATGTCTCGCAAACTGCTAGCTGCACCGTGGGGGTGGTTTACAAAATTCCCCTGATGTGCGGGCGCGCTTACGTTGGTCAGTACCATGAAACCAGGCGGCGGCTTCGAAAGCAAACCCGTCGGGACTCCTTTCCATTCACTGGAGTAGGTGCCCGTCATTCATGATATCGAGACCCTGATGGTGTACAAAGAAAGAACTAGGAGGGCTCTAAACCTCTGACAAGTTGAATCCACTGCGCTCGGTTGGTTGAGAAAATGAAAGAACGGATGCCGAAAGATGACGAACTCCATGACTTTGCGCTTTTGCCGCTCTTCCGTTGGTTCCATATCGTCTCGTAGCGTCGGTTGTGTCGTGACCTAAGGCGACTATCATTAGCCATTTTCCGTTGGCCTGTAAATGCTCCCCCCCCCCCCCCCTCCCCAATAAACTGAGTTGCGAGTGTGCCTTGGCCTGTTTTTGGTGAGATAGAGTGACAGGACAGGTCATACAAGGGAGAAATTCGCCCCGGACAGTGTTTGGGGGCTGTCTTTTCTATGGTGTACCGGTCCCGGCAGTGTGAACGCGGCTTCAGTTAACCGTTCAACAGCGAGGGTGACGAAGTGAAATGCGGCTCACATTGGGTTGGTCACGTTCCAGAATATGTCGACGAGCTTCTTGGCGAACACCGGCCGAGGTCCGAGAAGCTGGAGGCAACCGGTGGCCCACAGAATGACCACCGCGGAACGCATCACCACAACGCCGGCGGACACTGGCCACGAACACACACAGAACACAGAGGCCGCCAAGTTATCCGGAAGACGACGAGCGCCACAACCACCCACACGTCGATGACGACCGGTGGACGACCAACGCCATGATGGCTGCCCGAAGTCGGCCGTCCTGAAGTTGTCGTCCGACTCCCAAGAAAATGTCCACCACCTAAGCACCGCACCGGAGACACTCGAAAAAAGCGCCGTTACCTCATCTACACATCTTTTAAGAACGGTCCGACGTACGCGCACGAGCACAAACAACGAACGCTCTACGCGTCGGCGTTGCAAACACCTCCAAGCACCAAGAACCTCGTAAAATGTCCACTCATCTACACATTCTGTACAAAAGAAGACGGTTTCTTCGAGTCGCGTTCAAAGCAGACGATATCTAATGAAAGCGGAACCGGAAGAAGAGCCGCGGCGGGCGCGAAACGCGCATGTTCGTCTGCTACCGGCAAACGGACGAGCGAGCGGGAGCAGACGACGCGCGAGCGCAACTCGGAACTCGTCTGCTCGCTCCTCTCGTAGAAGGCGGCGAAGCCACTGCAATCTCGACACCAGGCACCACCGCCGGACCCCCCTCTTTTCCGACAAGAGAGAAAAACGTCCCGCCGAAGAAACTTGCGGGCCGTCCTCTTTGTCGCTCTTTTGCTTGCCGTCGGCCCCTTTCCTTTTCACGCCGCGCTCCTCGCGCTCCTGCGAGCCTGCGAGTGCTCGTGCGTGCGTGCTCCCGGAGTGCGAAAAGGAGAGGGAATCTAATAGAGGGAGAGTGCATGATCTTCATCGCGCGCAATCGCGCGGGGCGACGGACATTGGGAGGAGGAGGAGGCGGCAGGAGCGGAAGGGAGGAGAAACAAACCTCACGCCATCTAGTGGGATGGAGTGACACTATCGGGAGACTGATCGGAAAAGACGAGTTCGGTTCTCTCCTTTCGTCTCCTTCGCTTTATTGGCCGAATCGTGATCGACGAAGAGGTAGGGCTCACTTTTTCTTCTCTCGACGAACTTTATCCTTGGGATTCGCGGAAGAAGAAAGAGCAGGGAGAGAAAGATCGATAGACTGCGAAGGCGGCGCAGGAAAATGTCCGTTTCGTTTTGACGGTTCGGCTAGTGCGAGAAACTGTTCTTGGCGTTCTGTCCAACGTTTGTCCGATGTCTTTTTATCAGACATTTTATTTTTAAACAACGAACGACACGACGAGGAAGACAGGAGCAAAAACGAGGTGATTGTTCGCGGTTGAGGTCATTCAGCTGAATGAGAATCTGGTCTACTCTTACCGCAAATAAAAAAGTCAAGAGGGGTGTGGTGTGCGAATATTTGCTCGATTTGAATAACGTTGCGTTGCGTCATTGGCATCCTTCACGGTGCAAAGGAGAGTCACGACGCACCGGTTCTCCTTACAGTTTTGAGGCTAGGAGTGATACGATATTCGAAAGCCTACAAGTGATTCGATGGAGAACACGTACGTTCCACTTTTGTCAAATTCTTTTTCATCATGGACATCAATCGAGGCAAAGTACCAGACGGGTAGACTAGTAATTACGTTACTACAGCAATCAACTGAATATGCAACTAACATTACAATTCGCTCATTGTTTTACCGTAGCAGACAAACTAAAAAATGAAAAAGGTGGATACTATGTCTACTTCTACATGTATTGTCAGGACGTTTATTGCGGTCCTCTGTTGGCACTCGAGGCAAAGACGGGGCAAGCCGAGGAAGTGACCGTTGGGGCGCTTGCTCTGACGAAGTATCTCGCGCTAGCTCTGGATAGCGCGAGCCTCCTGCGCTCGTCCCGCGTGTTTCTGTCAGACGGGCATTTTAAAGGCCTTTCGAACAAGCTCCTTTATAAAATTAGCAAACCAGCGCACGCCGCAGGGCACGTGCGCACTCAACATCGCAAGTTGACTGGCTGATTTTATAACGCAGCTTAGTGAAAAGGAGCTTTAGAACGCCGTCTGACAGGAATAAAACTTATGCACCCCCCCCCCCCCCCCCCCTCCCATGGGAAAAGGTCATCCTGGCCGTTTTCGTAGCGGTTGTATGCTTTCATTCGTGTGACGTGGACGACGTATGGATTACGGGTTCGGCCGTTAGTTGGTGGGTTGAGGAGCTGGACGGTGGTGGCTGACGGGTGACATCTGTTGGACGACGATGCGGTCGGACGGCCATGTAGCGCGGCAGGAATGTACGGCATAAACCAGCCCTGCGCAGGGCAATAGCGACGAGGACCTCGTCTCCAGGGGAGTAGTTGACGTTGCGATGAGCTTCGTCATTGCGTATTTTTTTTTTATTGCTCGCAGTTGCTCTGATGTGCGAGAAACGAATTAAGGCTTTTCGTCTCACTTTTGAATGTAAATGTTCGTTAGCTCGTTCTTCTTGCGTCCTTTTATTCAAACCTTTTAGCAAATTCTGTTCTCTTAAAATGCTATAAACATCGGGAGCTTCCACTTCCACTTCGAATTAGGTACCGAATCACGAAACAGCAGCATTATCGGGCCAGCAAAAAACGATCGGGTAAAACACACCATGGTTCACACTTCTGCTGCACAAGCTCACGAAAGCAAAAAAAAAAAAAGAAGTAAGCTCTGTCACTCTAGCCGATGTCCTCTCCCGCAGAACATCGTGCCACGCCAGTATACATATTGCGCCTAGACGCAATCTCGAACCTTTTCCCGGCATGGCGACATCGGAGCGAGTTAAGTTGTCCGTGAATAATGCGACACCCTTCCTCGCTTCGAAGGACTCACTCCCGGCAGCGGCAGAGCTGATTAATTCATCCCGCCACGGCGGGACCCCCCCCCCCCCCCCCCCCTCTCCCGCATATTAATGGCCGAACGTCTTAGTAATGACGGGCTATCTGTCTCCCATAATGAGCCTACGGCGTTCATAATTACCGACCGGGGTCCTCACCTGCGAGCGAGAATCGAACAGTGACGGGACGAACCAATAGCGCCTAAAAGACAAGGCCCGCGCCATTCTCCCTCCCCCAAACGTCATCGACAGTGGAGCCACGCAGTGACGCCGCCGCCAAAACGGGCTCGTCTACCGCTTGGCAGCCTCTCCCGTCGAGCTTCGGAGTGTTTGCCGCTTAACGATGACGTCAAGCGCAGGCCTTGTCTCGTGGTATTGGACGAACGCGAGGGGAACACAAAGCCTCATCGTTTTCTCGCACAGATCTCCTTGAATACGGGACTTTCGATTACGATAAACTAAAGCTTCGAGCAATCGCTGCGGGTCCTATCAATACCAGCCTGCGCACCCGTAGCTCTCAAGTTTTGAACAGCGCCCCTGGTGAGCAACGTCGGACATTTTTAGGTCGCACTTCCGCTGTCCTTTCAAACGCTCTGTTAGTGCGCGTGAACGATAGACGGACGCTGAGGGACGCTGACAGACGCTAGTTTTACGCCCGTGGAAGGTGCATGATGGAACGTATGGGACGACGCTTCACGTCAGCATTAAATGGTCGCGTCTCGCGGACGCCAGCGGAAGCGCCTCTTTCTTTGTGGTCGCGCTGGCGGCAACGCTACGTGTGGCCGAGGTCAGTCAAACGCCGGTGATGGGAAGCGACATCGCCTGTACTTCGTATCTCACTCTGCGCGGCATCTGCGCAGAGGAGTTGAAGAAAGACATTTCGTCTGATATGGGAGTATCGAATGTATCGTCTGCTGCATAATAGGGACTTTTAGGGAACCGTTTTTGCACATCGCGTACGGTACAATGGGCCCTCCGGTACGCACTGCGCATGCGCTTCCGCGGCAAGACTCGCGCATGCGCAATTCGTACCGGACGGCCCATCGTGCCGTATCGGTTGTGCAAAGACGGTTCCCTAAAACTCCCTAGTTAGGGAGTTTTAGGGAATCGCTTTTGAACAAACGATACGATACGATACGATCGGCTCTCCTTTACGGACTGCGCATGCGCAAGGTCCCTGCTGCCTTACCCTTGCCCAGTTACCAGTGTCCGAACCGTAAGCTGTAATCCTGTGGTCAAAGCGGCTGACATAGAAGCGTCCCGTCTCATTTATAGAACGGCTGTTTCGCAGTGGGAAGAGGCTTGCCGAAGCTTCAAACGTGAATGAAAGCATTCGTGGTTATGCATGGAAGAAATGTCATGGTGGCGGTGAAAAAAATCAAGTCAAATTCACGATAAAAAAAGAAAAAAAAAAAGAAAAAGGAATGTAAACAAGACACCAAAGCTTTCTTAAAACCATATTGTTCGCGTTTCTCATTTTTCGGGGATGTGACATAGTTGGTTGAAGCGTGACTTTCCCATTTTCCTGAAGGTGCCAACGACACGGGCTCAAACCCTGTCCGATGACCCAGCTGTTAGTGGTTAGGGTGTCCGGTATTTGCTGCGCGGAGCGAGCTACGTCGGTTTTGTGGAAGCGAAGTTGGCGTTGTACATCCACTTCATCCATCGACGCAAGGTCGAACGCCTGTAGTCTTACCGTCAACAATTTCCGCGATTTTGGTGTAACCAAGTCAAATAAAAGGACTTTTTCTAAGTTTTCCCAGCCAAATAAAGCCAGTTCGAACTCACCGGCAAAACGTTTTAGCGCCACGATTGCCGCGAAGATCGTCTGCTCATTTAGCAGACGAACTGCTCAGACACGGTGCAGGACGCCGCCTCCACATATAGCCCTCCCATTCTAGCAAAACGAGACAAAATAAGGTTAATTCCACAAATTTGGCTTCAGGCTATTTATGAAAAAAGAAATGTTTTCCCTTCAGTTCTGCGAAATTACCAAACACACCTCCCCCCAGAAAACATGCAACCTCTTTACCCACTAGACGAAGCCATTGCGCATTTCCGTTGCCAGGGGGTGCGACCTGCACCGATCGTCAGCAAACGCGGTTCTCTAAAAGCCGTTTCACGGAAAACGATAGGTTCGAACTGTCGATCCCAGGTAGCGATCGTTGGGTCTATCGACCGGGTTTTATACCGGCTCCCTAAAACTCTCCATTAAAAATGCCATTTCGCGTCCTAGGATGAAATCCCACTTCGGTGCGGTGGCTGCTGGGCTTCGCGGTCAGGTCGTCGCCCTGAAGCAGTCCGGCAGAGACGGCCGCACGGGGCTGGAACACGGAAGTTTGGTAGAGTTCGGTTCCCGGACGAGTCTTCCCCTTTGCCGCGGCACCTAAGCCGTCCGGAGCCCACGAAAGAAAAAAAAAAAAGCGGGTTGAGCGAGCTCTCTGGGTCGACTGCCGCCTTGTCTCCGAATTCGAACAAAGCAGCGCGCTAGACCTCCGCATAACGCATATAGCAAAAAAAAAAAAAAAAAACACACACACACACACACACACACAAAAAAAAACCTTTTTTTTTTTTTTTTGCATTGGAGTAAGTGTTTTTTTTGGCGCTTCCCCTACCACGCATGAATGTGCCTCGGATCGTCGCCTCGACACCCGATTTCGACCCATTTTTTTTTTTTATCGGAGAACGTTTCCCGCCGTGGGCGGATCAACTTTTCGTCAATTTCCCAACGCCTGACAGCTCCGACGTTCGTTAAACAACTTCGCTGTACGAAAGGGTTGGAGACTCCTGACGAAGTCTGAGTACACATTCATCACATCTCTCGCGCCTGACTACCAAACGTGTTTTTCTTCTTCTAGTGTTTTCGGTGGAAATAAGGAAAATAAGCAATCAAAGGACGTCCTGGAGCAACTTGACGAGTAAAGCACCAAACTCGAAACACACGATTTGGACA